AAATAAGTTGTCCCTGTGTTTTTCTTTCCAAAAATTAGGATCTCTAGAATATTATCATGGGGCCTACACAGAGTAAAATAATACATAGGCCGAGTTTAGTCTTATTTTAGCGGAGGGGTGGGCATAAAAATCTGTCGGAGGGCCAAAGTGAACTTTTGATTTAACACCGAGGGCTGCACCCAAACTTTGATGTTCCAATGAGCTTCCAAATACCTCCAATCACTGCTTTTACATCACCTTTATTCTCAGTTTTAATGTCACTTTTTACATATTATTTTTGTCGGGCCATAAAAAACAACTGTGTTTTCTAGACAATTTTGATTGGCGGGCCGCAAACATAGGGTTTTTGATTCATTGTCACAGGCCACAAAAAAATCGGTGACGGGGTGCGTGCGGTCCATGGGCCGCACTTTGCCCACCTGTGTTTTAGCGGTAGGGATTGGCCTTAATCACAGAAAGAAATGAAAACAATTCAATGGCCTAGGCCCTACTATAGTACAATACTGTACTTAGCAGGGGTGAGGGGTGGGGGAGGGCCCCGTCTGGGAGGTCTGGCTTTTCTCCCACCCCGTCCGGGTGAAAAACCACAATTCGTCGGGGAGAAAAAATATACTGTATTCTCTACATAGGCCTATTAGTAGACACCAAAATCGACTAAGTAAGCCTTTTAAACCAAAAAATGTTATTTTTTCCGGGTGGGGGGGGGGGGGGGGGGGGGGAAGCCCAGTGGAACATTTTTGACGGATATTGAGGGATGCCCAACCACGCGCCCTTCATCCTATGAATAAATTATCTTACTGGAAGAGAAAATGGGCCTAATAAATTAAAACTACAACTTTTACAACATGATTGCTGAAAAGATTTTTTTTTTAGTTTTCACTGCTTTGAAACAATATTGCCGGATTCCAGAAAAAGAAAAAGGGAACCAAATGTTAATATATGTAATTTAAGTAAATATATTAACTTTTCAATGTCGGGTCTATTATAAATGTTATATTATGTGCCTAGTGCACATTCTTCAGTAGCCTAGGCGAGGGTCTTACAATAGATTCTGCACAGGCCTTTCACATATGTAAATGAGGCATATAGGCCTAGACGGACTGCTGCGGGTGGCTAGACGCACAATCTCGGACTAGGCCCCAGCAAGACTACTGAAAAGACCTCCTGGTCTGACCAAGCCCAGGCTTAGTTAGAGGGAGCCTAGACCTACGTCTATACTATTTAGACCAATCATCTGAAAATGGACTCAATCGTTTCTCACCTGCCCATAGCAGCAGCACAAGAGAAAACTAAACTAACCCTCAGCCTGCTCGCCTTGCTAATTGACATTGATGATGTTTCCTTTGCTCCCCCTCGGCTGAACCCGTCGTATTTAGCAACTACCCTCGGGGAGCAAAGGCACTATGTTGTCCGGGTTGCCAGACAGTCAACAGATTCAAGATTCAAGATAATTTTATTGTCTGGAAAACCCAGAAATTACATTCTTACTGGCAAAGTTACTAGAGTTAACAACATATACAGTAATAAATAAAAGATAACAAAGATATTTTATAAAACTATGAGCACCAAACAATATCAGTCATGAGATGTACAAAAAGAATATAAAACATTATTAACTAATATTACACATTATGAGATTGGATGTAAAAATTGTGACAAAGTTTTATATTGGTGAAACAGGCAGGGCACTAAATACAAGAACAAAGGAACACAAGAAAGATGTAGAGGAACATAATGTTGGAGTAAGAACAAGGGCCAGCAGAAAATCCTCATCTACACAATTACACAAATTGGCTATAACAGATTATATGACGCAACAAAATCACATACCAGACTGGGAGAACATCAATATCCAACATAAAGAACAAGGGTAGCTAAAACAGAAAATTAAAGAATCAATGTATAGGAGAAATAACGCTACAATGAATAGAGACGAAGGCGCACATCGCCTCTCACACCTATATGATCAAATGTTAAAGACGGCTAGAGCGCCCCGCTACCAACGAGCATTGGCAGAAACCCTTCACAGATTCTGACAAAGCCTGATTCATAGCCAGGCGGAACTGTCAACAATAAAAAACAGTTGAATAATATTTGGTTTATCACAAGGAATTATACATATTTATTGAAAGTACACTATTTCATCCTTATTTACTGTAGTGGCATATTCTTTTATTCTGCTTCTTTAATTGCTCAATCATTTTTTCAAAGAAACAACAAGAGGAAGGTTAGCCCAATTTATCAAGCTTAAAATTGTAAAAATAAAATGTTAGACATTGGGAGGTAGGTACTATAAAACTGACTCATACATGCTGTACCCTGGTTTGTATGCCAAGCAATTTTAAAACATTAAAAAAAAAAACAGGCTGATTTTATATATAATAAAGATGAAACCATATTGTGGTGAACAAAGACAGACAGCTCCTGTGGTAGACGACGAGAGTTGCTGGTATCGATTTACTGGGTAGCACAGACACGAAGGGACCCTTTAGGGGTGAAGAAAGTCATTGATTGAGTTCCTAGTCCACATATCAAGCGCCCTGAGCATGTTATGTTAGATGGATATGGCGCTATATAAAACTACACTATTACTATTATTATTATTTTTATTAATATTATTAAGACAAACTTTTTAATATTTTTTTTTTGTATTTTAAAAATGTTTTTCCAATGTGAATCTGAAGACCTAGAATACTTACTAACCAATCATGACAATACCTATGTTGAGAATTACACATTTTTAAATACAGTAAAAAAAATAATGTTACAGTAATAATTGGAGAGGGGAGCTTAAAAGTCAACACGTAATTGACAACTCATTTTTATTATTGCCCTTACTTGATGTTTTACTGTCTTGTTACTAATCTATTTATGTGAATTTTAATGTGTTTATGATACGTTCATTAACGGCAATATGTTGTAAACATTTAAGGTGTAATTAAAAGAAAGAAAGAAATAATGTACCAGTATATAATAATTAATTTATTGAAAACTCATTATTATTATTGCCTTTTTTTATGCTTCACTGTCTTGTTGCCAATCTATTTATGTGAATTTTAATGTGTTTATGATATGTACATTAACAGCAATGTATCGTAAAAAATTAGGCTGTATTAATGTAAAGTAAGAAAGCAAGCAATTATGCATATAATAATTAATTTTCTGAAAACTCTTTTTTTATTATTGCATTTAATTGATGTTTTAGTGTCTTCTTGCCAATTTATTTATGTGAATTTTAATGTGTTTATGATGCGTATGTTAACGGCAATGAATTGTAAACATTTTGGTTGTAATGTAAAGTAAGAAAGCAAGAAATTATGTTTATAATAATTAATTTTTTGAATAACTCTTATCTATTATTGCATTTAATTGATGTTTTAGTGTCTTCTTGCCAATCTACTTATGAGAATTTTAAAAATAGGCCTGGTGTATTTTTAGGCTAATATTATAATGACATATAATGGAGTATCAGGGATGTCACCAGCTTTTTGAAGTGCCGGTCGGCGATCATTCCGCGTTCCTCCCCCCCCCCCGTTTTCCCGGGGGTGGGTCGCCGTATTTGTGAAAGCTCTTAAAAACCAAAAGGCCGAAGTAAGTCGAGCAGGCCTAGGCCCAAGGCTAGCTGACGCGATTTTTTTTGGCTAGGCCCACCCAGGTGTAGGCCTAGGCCAGGTCCAGGTAGGCCTAGGCCAGAATTTGAGGAATGCAAACAAAACAGATGAAGATGAGACTTACTGTAGGCCTAATTAAATTCAATAGTTGACATGCTTTGTTTTAGATTAAAAAATAATAATGAACAAATCCCGGCGACAAAGCGCCAATCTGATTGTACCCAGCCGCATTGTTTGCCGTAATTTCACATGTTAGACGATTACCACAGACGACGGATGTGTATGTCACTGATTCATATGCACTCATTTATTTATTTTTTGTCCATTTACACACATTATATATCAATTATAATTAAAAGTGAAAAACTTAAAATACAAAATGAAAACAAAGTAAAGAAATAAAACATAAATCAGGTTTCGTAAATTTCCAACTCCACAGTACGTTCATCTGTGAATATTACATCGTGAAATGTCTCTCTGTTTATAATGCAAGCCACTGCATATTTCAAACGGTCAACTTAATTTGGGGTCCTGATTAACTGGCAATATCGCGTGCCCTCACAAACCCATCGTAACTTTCTTCTCATCTTTTTTATAGTAGTTACAGACAAGAAGATACCAGTTTTCTCTAAAACAACTTCTTGGAGTTGTCTTGCTGTCATTTCATCATTTCCCATCATGGCTTCATCAATGATGTCCAAGTGCTGGTCAGTAACTTCGACGGGACGTCTAGATCGAGGATGATCTCCAATATACTTGATTATTTCAAAGCGCTTCAAAATCCTAGATACGAAACCCCTGTGTGAAGAATACCCAAAATCTTCAACATATGAAAACACCGGACAACTCGCGACCGTATATGAAACGGTCTTTTGGACATTTTCCTTCAATTTCGATAGAGCTAGATACTGTAAGACACGATGTGCGATAATCTAATAATAGTGAGCGAGCTTATACTGCTTTTCACGGTACCCGAGTATTGCCTATTACGTTCTCCAACCCATCATTCATTCATATGTAAAA